AAAAAAAAAAAAGTTAGAACAAACAACAAACAAACAGAAAACAAAAAAAAAACGAGATTAAAAGTTAAAATGAAAAAAATTGTTTAAAAGCAGAAGAGAATACGAAGTAGATAAGAGGAGAGGGAAAGGAAGGGGTAGTTTATAATTTAAATCAAAAAAAAAAAAAGGAAAAAAGGAAAAATTTTTTTCAACCCCTTTTTTTTTTAAAAAAATTTGTGTCCTATCACTAAATGAAAAATTACAAGAATGATTTATGTGACAACAGCGAAAATTAGAATTTAAACAGGAGAAAAAAAAAAAAGTAAATGTAATAAGTAATTAAATAATGCATAATTATTAAGGGTTGAAAAAAAAAAGAAAAATGGCGGACATTTTTTTTTTTATACATTTTTTCAAACGATTTAATGGTATTCACCGTTTGTTAATACCATGCGATCATCGATTTTTATGTTATTATTATCAACAACAACCAAAACAACCGACATTTTGTTGGCATAGATTTTTTTTTAGACTTTGGACACCGACTACAAGAAAGAAAATTATACCAAAGGGGTTAAAAAAGGGATGAAATTTTATTTTAATTAACCTTGAAATTCATACGTCAGTACCAGACAGGAACGAATGAAACAGTTTCATCTTTTATTAATTAACAATTTGTGTATTCAAGTGTATGCGTGTGTGTGTGTGCGTGTTGTTTCTTCTGCTTTTTCTTCTTTTTCTTCTGCTTCTTCTTCTGCTCCTACCTCTTATTATAGTTTTATTATTTGTTTTTTTTTTATAGTCTCAGGTGTAGCTTTAAGTAATAAAAAAATAAAATAAAGAACGAAATGAAAATGAAAATAATAATCATCATCATCCATTCTTCTTTTTTGTATTTTCTATTTAAAAATAAATCCTTAAAAGGTTTTCTTAACAACCTTAAGGGTTATTGAAAAAAGGGTTAAATTAAAATTTTCTTTTTTTTTTTAAAACTTTTCCATATGATAAACATTAAATTTTTCTTTTTCTTTTTGTACCCTTAAATAAATTTTTTATATTAATATATATATTCATTTTATTATATTTATTTTTTTTTATTACTAAAATGTGAGTGTAAGAGAGAGAGAGAGAATAAGTAAACATAATAAAGTTATGACGTCAAATAATAATAATAATAATATTTTTTTTTTTTAGTTATAGGGAAAAAAATTTTTTTTAAAAATGATCGAAAATTTATGACGGGAAAAAATTTTTTTTTTTAATGATTTTTATTTTTTAATCATTATCATTATCATTATCATCATCATTATCATCATCATCATCATCATCGTTAAATTTTTTTTGTAGACTTTAGAACCACTTTAGTTTAAAAAATTAATTAACATCTAATTATTCTACACCAGGAAACGAATTCATTAATTCAACGCATAACCGATTTTACTTATGTCAAAAAAGTTTTTTTTTTTTGTTTTCGAGGTCAAAGGTTAAAAAGGGTAAAAAAAAATCATTTTTTGATTATTAATAATTATAATCGTTTTCGATTAATTATTAATTAATCTAATATCTCATTAATAATTTATTATTATTTTGTTTTGACGCCGTTTTCGTTTAAAATTTTTAATTAATAAATTATTATCGATTTATTGATTTTTTTTTTAGTTTTTCCATGGAAAAAAAATTGACGTAATGAGTGAAAATCCCGTCGCAGCACACGACAACACGTTAATCATATTTTTAATAATAATAATAATAGTAGTTGTAGTAATGATAATAATGATAATAATTAAAGTGAAACGTAACTAAATAATATACACGTTACAAGATTCGCTTTCTCTCTTCTACAATAGGCAATTGGGTTATTTACGTTGTGAGTGACTGGTACCTGTATACTAAACACTGCCGAATCTGTAATGCAGAAAACCTGACGACCTTTGATTAGTTCGAAAAATCCAATTCGGAAGGTCGTTTACTCTTCGCGTAGAATCATTTTCAAATATATATACATTCGTTTATTTTTTATCTATCGACGACATTAAATTAAATCATCATCATCATCATCATCTCGTCGTCCATATTGGTTTTTACTTTAAATCGTATATGTTACGTGTGCGTAAGTGCGCGAGTGCACGCGTACGCAATGTGCACGTCACTTATAAAATTTTTCTTTTTCGTATGCATTTTTTTTTAATTGAACTAATTTTAATATTGTTCGCATATGTTAAATTTGTTCTTCTTACAAGATAAATCAACGTTTAATAAATTTTAAATTTTAAAAAAAGAAAAAAAAATTAATTTTTTTACGTAATGAAAATAATAATAATAATTTAAGGTCATGAATATTACTATAAATTTTTTTCATCCAATCTATAGATAAATTGAATATTCGTATGCTATAAAATGCGCTATAAAAATTAAAAATATAGTTTTGTTTTAAATAAAAGTAATTCAAGTTACAAAAATTTATTTATGTACGTTATTCACACCCGAATTTTTTTTTGTTTAAACCTGTAAAATTATAGCACGTTTTAAAATTATTATAGCTCTATATTATAGTAATTATTAACTCGTACGATTAATGGTGACGTGAAAATTTTTTTCGAAACAGTGAAAAAATTATTTTTATTTATTTTTTTTTTTAACATAAAACTCTTATTAAACGAGGGATTTAATTTTTTAAAAATGTTTTTATAGACTATAAAATTAAATAAATAATTTTTATAGTCTACAAAATAAGTCTAATTATTAAAAAAATATTTTTTTCTTTTTCCTATAAATTCTATTCATCGTTAAGAAATATAGTTTCTGCACATCCGCGACCGTCATTATTAGTACCGGTGGTACCGATTCTTTCGTTTGTTAACTTCTGCTAGCAACGACCACATTGTATTATTATTATTAATAGTCTTCCAACAAACAACAACTCACTTTCATTTTAAAAACAACAAAATTTTTTTCTTTTTTTTTAAGTTAAAAAAAGTTTAAAGTGAAAAAAGAAAAAGAAAACGAAAAGAAAAAGTGTTATTTAAAAAAACGGTTAACAAAAAAAAAAAAGGTTCGTGCTTGTTACAAATTATTATTATTATTAATATTATTTTAAGCAGAAGACGAAAAAAATTTTTTTGTTTTATAATTAAATACTGTCGCTCTTTGATAAGGTAACAAAAAAAAAGTGTTTCAAACGACCAAATAATCAAAATTAATTTTAAAAAAAAAAAATTTATAACAAACATATTGTTAATATTCGACCGCCATTTTTATTTTTTTTGCGGAAAATTATATTTTATCTGGGAAAATTTCTAATCCGTGAGTATAATAATAATAATAATATTGTTTTTTTTCCCCCAAAAAATGTTTCGAACGTTACATTTTCTTTTCGTTGGGATTTTTAGTGTTAACAGTAACCAAAAAAAAAAAAAAATCAATTCACTTTCTACGACGGCGGCCATATTTGTTATCCTTCAACGAATGATGATTAACTTATTATCCGTGACTTCGTTTCTTACGTACAAAAAAAAATTTTATTTTTAAAATTTTAATAATTTAATCGATCGAAATATTTTTATTTCACCAAAACACAATACGACGACGATGATGATAACGATAATAAAGTAAACACGTAGCAGACGAAAAAAGAAATTTTTTTTGTTTTGTAAAAAAAAATTAAATAATGCAATAAATTTTAACTGGGAGGACGTTTTTGTCAACTAACAAACAAAAATCGCGCTATATTAACGCTATATTTTTTTTACTAAAATTGTATTTTCTATATTGATAATGCGTATATTTTTTTTTTAGTAAACCGACAACGATTATAGTCTATAAATTTATCGATGGAACAACTATAATGTAAAAATGGATCGTGGAATTTTACGTGCTATATTTATAATTGGATTTTTTTTTTTTCTCGTCGGTGATATAACGACAATAATAAATTTTTTATTTAACATGTTCGGATTATCACCTGATGCTATAACTATAAAAAGTTCAGGTGTTAAAAGTTCAGGTAAAGGAAAATTATCTGATACGTCGTCATCCGTTGAAGATTTCACCACCGAAAGAGATGATGATGACGATGACGATGACGACGATGACGATCATCCACTTAATTTTTTATGTAAGAATTCATTTTTATTATTATTATCATTATCATTATTATTATAATTATCATTATCATTATTATTAAGCTATAGAGAGCTATAAAAACGGGTCTTATAGAGCGTCTTTTAATTGTTTTTTTTTTTCAAAGTTTTTAAAGATCATATTTTTTTCCATTTCAAGGTTATTTTTTATTTTTTAACTTATCGTATATTATTTTGTTTTTATAGCAGAAGACAAAACTATTTAAATAATTTATAGAAATACATTTATAGAGGATTTATATATATTTTTTTTAATATGATAACTTTCACTTTGTGTGAATTTCGTTTAAAAAAAATTTTTTTTTTTTATTGTAATTTAACGATCGTTTGTCTACGTGAGAAAAAAAACGCTATAAATTCGTTTTTTTTGCCTTCTATAAATCGCTTTAAATTATAGCAAATTTTTACTTTATAGCACAAAGTAAAAATGAATAATTCGTTTAAAAAAAATTAGTCTCGCGTAAAAAAAAATTGTGCAAAGGTAAAAAAAGAAAGAAAAAAAAAATTCTTTTGACCTAAATTTAGTAAAAATGTTACGTTAAAAATTATTACGCAATGACGTCGGTTAATAACTTTTTTTTTTAAAAAAAGATAATAATAATGATAATATTTTTCGAACGTCACGCGTTCGTTATAAACCGTTCGTTATGAATAATATTAAAAACGATTACTGGAAAAAAAAAAAAAAAAAAAAAAAATTTTTTTTTCCAGTAAATTGTTTTTTTTATTTAAAATTTTATTCTCGTTTTCCCTTCGTTAAATTTTTTTCCCGCCTTTTTTTTTATTAAAAAATATCCATCGGAATAAAATAAACGCAAATCATTTCCGTTTAAATTTTTTTTTTCCCCGCAATTAAAAAAAAAAAAAAACGCAAAATTAATTATTATCAATAATCGATAATAATTCTTTCTACGATCAATTTGATTTTCCCTTCAAATCGAAAAAAAAATTTATTACGGATTGTAAAGCGGAAACGGAAGTGCATTTTCCGGTCGTAAATTTTTTTTTTTTTTTTTTAATTTTTTGGTTATTCATCTCGAAATGATTTGATGAAATTACTCGGGGATTTTTTTTTTTTCTTTTTTTTCTGGAATGAAAAAATTTTATTAAATTTTATTCCGGTTTTTTTTTTGAACGCTGGAACGTTCTGGAATTTTTTTTTTCGTAATAAAAACGATCGATATCAACGATCCACGTGTCTGCGTGTGTGATTAAATTAAAAAAAAATATCATTTTAATTAAAACGCGACATTTTGCGTTTTTTTTTTTTTTTTATTAATTTGATTTGATAAAAAAAAAAAAAATGTCGTCTGATTTTTTTTTTTATACGAATCCGTAAATACCACGCTTATCAGTATTATTATCAAATAATTTCCGGTTTTTTTCTTTTTCTCTTTCCTGTAAAATATTTTCACTAAGGTTACAATTAATATTTTTAAAAATTTAATTTATTTATAGCGCTACAATGAAACATTTTCGCATCATTTTTACAACAAAAAAAAGGACTATCATTATTATTATTATTATTATCGTATTAAAACATCACGTGACATGTTTTTATTTTAAATTTTATTATTAAAAAGAAACGAAATAAATTAATTTTAATAAACGATTCAATCGACGATTGTTAACCGCCATATTTTATTACGTCACGTGTGCGTTATAAAAACAAAACAAAAAAAACTTTTGTGTACTCTTATTAGCTTATGAAACAAAAGTAATAATAATAATAATATTTTTTTCCAATGTTTAAAAAATTATGAAAAGAATCGTTATTATTATTATTATTATTTTGCTGATCAAACGAATCGATTTATATAAAAAAAAAATGTTTTACGAGGCAAAAAAAAAATAAGAAAAAAATTGAAAATCAGCAAAAAAAAATTCAACATAAATTTTTGGCGCTTATTATCATTATTATTATTATTATCGTCGTTTTTTTGTTCTCAGGATATTCTATAACTATAAACTATAAATTTTTTTTTTTTTTTTGAATTTTTTGACACGGGTTAATAAAAATTCTCACGATCTAAATTTCATAAGCTAACAAATTTATTATTATTATTATTATTATTATTATTATTATTATTATTATTATTATTATTATTATTTTTAATGTAAAAGAATGAGAGAAATCGTAGCAGTAGCAATAGTAGCAGACTGGTTATAAATAAGATGACGACATTAAAGGTCACGAACTTGTCAAATATTTGAATGATCCGTTACAAGAATATGTCCAATCGGACAAATTTATATAAAAACGAACGAATTTTATATATATATAACGACAAATGAACAAACAAACAAACAAACAACTTTTTATTATTATTTTCAAAGTGTTTATGCTACTACAAATAAATCCGGACCTTCACAGCAGGTTGCTACTACTACTACTACTACCACCACTACCTCAAAAAAGGCTACTTAAAAATATTTAATAATAACGAACAACCCCTTCGATAGTATATAAAATTAATAACATGGATATATTTTCTTCTTGTCCGATTATTATTATTATTATTATTATTATTAGTTTTTTCCTTTGCACGTCATCGCATTGAAAAAAAAAAAAAATGTCATGATAAAATGATGATAACATAATAGATTATCATCGGGAGGTCTAAAAAAAAAAAAAAAAAAATGTCTTCTTTCATCGTAAAGGTTTAAATTTTTATAATAAATAAAAAGGAATTTTTTTTGAACTCATTTGACTAATGTAAGAAGGGAATGAAGGGATGAAAAGGAGGATGAAATCGACAAAGGAAATAAAAGATTAAAAAAAAAGAAAAAGGAAAAAAGGAAAAAAAAAGTTTATATGTATAATTTGTCGTGTAATGATAATAAAAAAAAAAAAGGAAAAGCAAATGTTGAGATTTTTCTTTTTTTTGCGCCGTGAAAAATAAGGAAAAAAGAAAAAAGAAAATAGAAAAAGGAAAGAGAAAAAGGAAGGGAAAAAAAGGTGTCGGGAAAGAGAGTGAATGAAAAAAAAAATTAAATTAAATTAAATAATCTGAGTGTCAAATTATATTTTTGGGTAAAAAAAAAAAGATTCTTGATATAATGACGTGGCAGAAGATTAATAAAAAAAAATTTTTTTTTTTTTTTAACTTTATCAAGCAGATCTTATTTATTAAAATTATCAATAAAAAATTTTATAGTTCCTTTATAGCTCTATAAAGTACAAAATAGTTTATAGATTTTAGTACGAAAAGTTTTTAATTAATCACCTCGCTTTTATTTTTATTATTATTATTAATAATAATAATGAAGAAAGTTAAATTTAAATTATTTATTTATAAAGGCGAGTGAAATCAATTTTTTTTTTTTTTAAATTTCAGTTTATAAATATATACTATATTTTTATAGCGTGGAATTTTCAATCTATAAATAAGAGTTACAAATTATTTATACAAACATTCTTTAAATTATTACAAATGAAATTATTTTTAATTATTATTAGAATGTTTGAATACATATAAGTAGTTTTAATTATTAAATTTTCTAAATATAGCACTATAAGTTACTATATTTATAGCATAATAATTAATTTTATTTTTTAAAAAACAAAAAAAACTTTTCTTTGTTCTTTTCTTTAGGATTTTTAAATGTAATTTTTGTTATTATTATTTTTTTTTTTTTATAGAACAGTTTTCTCTCTCACTCTTTGTTTCTCTCCTACCCAAAAACAAGTGCTACCAACATGATTTCAATCGTCGCCATTTAAAAAAAAAAAAAAACATACATGCAAACATGCAAAACAATTCGCTCATAACTAATTAAAATATAAGTTTAAAAAAAAAAATTAATTAATTTTTGTCGTTTTTTTCAGTAGCGTAATAAGGAAACGAATGCTATCGATTACAAAACACAAATAATTTTATTATTATTATTTTTTTTTGTTTCAGCCTCGACGCCGATAGCAAAATCCGCATTAATGGCAAAAATAAAAAAAGCATGTTTGCCAAAATTGATATGCGAATTAAATGCGACGCCGCATAGGGAAAGATTGACGGAAACGGAAAAATATTTATTGGATCTTATTAGTGACACGTCCATTAGCATGACGGCTGAAGTCACGTCTAAATATCATTTTGCAGCTCACATGGGACAATTGATTGCCGGCATTGAAGGTACCGGTTGTTATAATTTTTATCCCTCTTGTCCCATACCCGGTTTGCAAGTTTTGCAAATGATGAAAAAGGTTAAATTAAGATAATGACGTAAGTGTGGGTGCGTGAGAGTGCGCGCACACACGCACACACGCACCGCTTTAAAATAAAATTATTTTTTTGTGTTATCTAGTCATATTAATAATAATAATTATATTAATTATCAATCGAATAGGCTGGGACGGATCTGCAATCTTCATATAAATATATTTATATTATATAAATCCGTCAGATGAATAATTTTTAAAGTTTGTAAATATTTTTATTATCATTATCATTATTATTATTATCGTTTTGTAGTTTTTTTGTAATTTTATTTGTAAATAATTTTTTTTTTGTTATCATTAGTGATAAAATTAATTCATCTGTATTTGCAAAGAAAAAAAAAATTTGTTACCTAATTTTTTTTTTTTTTTTATAAAAATCGTTATTATTATTAATTTAACCTTTTTTTATTGTAATAATAATAATAATAATTTTTATTAAATTTCATTTCGAACGCGCACGTAGTATAAAAAAACGTAAATTTTAAAATAAATAAAAAAAAAATGGCGCCAAAAAATGAAATTTTTTAAAGTAAAAAAATTTAAATTTTTACCTTTATCATTATCATTATTATTATTGTTATTATTATCATTATTATCGTTACTATTGATTGTTAAGTTTAAGATGAACAAATTATTAATTGATTTGTATCAATTGTTACAATAATTTGCTTATCAAACTCATTCGTATTTTTTATATTTTCTTCTTGTGCTTTTTCTTTCTTTTTATATTTTAAATTTTTATATGTGTATGAAATTTTGTCGTTGAAAAAAATAAATAAATAAAAACGATGAATTTCGTCTGGTGCCACGGTCAATTTTTTCTTTTCTTTTCTTTCTTTCTTTCTTTTCTTATCCCTTTTAAATTTGAAAAAAAAAAAAAGTAAATGGTTACTGATAAGAAGACATTTTTTTTTTTTATACGAAAGTGGAAAAGGTTGAAGAAAAGTTTTTTTTTTTTTTTTTTACGATTCGTGTCAGTAGAAAATGTTGATATTTTATATATATATATTTTTCTTATAGATAAACTATATGTTTTATTTAAAAACTTTGACCTTTAACCTTATAAATATTGTGCGTGTGGATTCGTGCGTTTGTTTTATTATAAAAGTTTTAGTAATAATGATAATAATAAATAAATAAATTTTATTTTTTTTAAAGAAAAAAAAAATTTATTTTTTAAATAAAACCGGTTGAAAACAAACAAGCGAACGAACGAACAAACAAACAAACGTTTGTTTTTATTTATATTTAAATATTACTTTAATTATAAGAATTAGTGAGAGAATTCAAGCGTTTTTAAACTTTCTAAAGACGTTTGTTGTTATTAATTAAGGAAAACTAAAAGCATAAAATAAGATTCGAGTCCGAATTCGGTCCTGTTGCGGTCGGTTTAAGATTACAAAACCTTTTTTTAAATAATAAACAAAAACCTTTTTTTTTTCTTTCCTTTTTTGTCTTCTCTCTACGATTCCTGTAATGTAGCCATTTTGAAAAATCAAAGGGTCAACAGTAAAAAGATTTTCTTTTTCCTTTGACAAAATCTTTCTTTTTGCTAAAAGAAATGTGAGAATTATAGACACACGAACGAACACTACTAATTAATTATTTAATTATTCTTTAACCGAGAAAAAAAAGAAACGTCTTCTGCTTGCCTCCGTTTCCGGTTTCTACCAAAATTAAAAAAAAAAAAAAAAGGAAAAAAAAATTTTTTTTCTTTTTTTTCCGTTATATTTTCTCATTTTGCATTCCCGTGAAATCCTTTTTAAGAAATTTTTTTTTTTTTTTTTGAGGTTATTACAATAAAAAATGGCGGATCGAATTTGATGACGCACGAAAAAAAAAATTTCGAATAAAAAAAAGGAATAAAAACAAAAAAAAAAGCTCAAAAACTCATTTTTACCACTCTTTCATATTGTTCGCGAGTTTTCACGGATTTTTTTGTCGTCTGCTATTTGATCTAACCCCCTTTCCCGTCGTCGTTTATTTTTCTTTCTACTTTTTTTTTTTTTTTTACCTTCCGCTTCCTCTTCCTTCCTCCCTTCAATTTTTTTATAACCAGAAATTCAAGAAAACAAGAAAAGGAAAAAAGTTACGTAAAAAAGAGGAGAAGGAGGAAGGGGCGAACGAAAAAAAATATTTTTTTTTCTACTTCCGGTAATTTTTCACGCAGACGACAAAAATTATTATTTTTTAACGTACGGTTAATAATAATAATAATAATCGGGTGACAAAATAATAATAATTTATTATTTATTTATTTATTTGAATGGATTTTCACGTCCGCAAATGGCAAAACCACCAAACGATATAATTTTACGAAACTAACTTATTTGTAGTTTGTTGTATAATTATGGGGGGAAGGGAGAGGCGGGGAGGGAGGGGAGGAAGGAGGGGGTCGGTCACTTTAGAGCACATTACCAAATCTGAATACTTTCAACGGGAAAGAGTGTGTAATTACCTCAAAATTTTATTATTTACTCGTACGCACTATGTGATGAGTAAGTACACGTGTTGTCCCATTGTCACGTGGGTCACTACCATCTGTCCGAATGTATTTAAATAACCCCCGAGGGCTGCACTCATACGACGCTATAATCAACCCCTAAAAATATTTTACTTTAACCGTTTTTCATTTTATTTTTGTATTTAAGGGTCGTCCCGTGTGTGTGTGTGTGTGTGTGTGTGTTATAACGCATTCTTAAAATCACAAATCTACGTATTTCCGTTCTTTCTCTCTCTCTCTCTCTCTTTCCTTTCTCTTCCTTCATCACTTCTTCTACTCCTTCCCCTCAATGATTTTTCTTTCCTTTTCCGCGTTTGATTTATTTTTATTATCGTAGTCATTACTCGATCGTAACGATGAGATTCAAGGAGTGCATCGACGCGTATTTATTTTATTATTTATATACGTGGAATTAAAAATGAAAATATTTAATTTAAACGTGGCAGAGGAACATCGACGGCAAAGTGTAAATCAAATTATCCATTTATTTCTTTAATTCGGTTAAACGATTTAATATTTTCTATTACCACTACACACGCACGTCGTACTTACACACACACACGAATCTATTCTAAATATATACGTAAAAGACGTTAAAATTTATAAACGTGGCGCCAGAATAATTTAAAGCACTCGCGCGAATATTAAACAATGCATGGGGGGAGTATTGTTATTTAGCAAAAATAAAAAAATAAAAAAAAAATTTTTATATTTTGAGGTTTGAAAGAAAAATAAGAGGAAAATTTACAACCGAACAATTTTTAATGAAAATTTTCGTGTTGATATAAACTTTATGGGGATGTTTATACCGGAAACGTAAAACAAAACCCGTCTGCGGTTACAATAATTTTAAAGAAAAACTGAGAATTTTCAAAGAAAACAGGATACGGAAATGAAATTATGAATACAGTAAGAAATTTATTCCCATTCCTCCCACCACCGACAAGCAAGTTTACACCTTTTCAATATCCACGATGTGTTATATAAATCGGCAACGTTGCCAAAATTTTTCCCGTAATTAAATTTTTTTCGCGCACGTGGCAAAAGAAAAAAAGAAAAAAATTATAAATAAATTAACCATAAATAATCACTTAATTATTTTAGTTTTTTAATTTTATTTTTTCAACCGGACCGAACAAACGAACGTTGTTGTCGGTTGCGTTTATCGCCAATTAGTTGAAAATGTTTAATTACCCGTTTAATTTATGGTGCGATGAACACACGTATCAGTTTCCTCTTTAACCATTCTTCTTTCCTTTTTCTTCCGAATACTATCATCAACCCAAAATCTTCACCTTCCCCATCATCATCATCATCGTCATTGTTTTCACGTGCGTGCGTGAATGGGTGCGTGCGTGCGTCACAATTCAACACCCTTGATTTTGTAAAGGAAAACGATTGTTTCCGTTTAACGGTTTGTTTTCCTATTGATAAAAAGGAAGAAGAATAAAACGTTTGTCCCGCGCCAAAAAATTCAAAATGGCGGAAAAGGTTGTGGGTTTGGGCAGAAATGAATCGACGACAGGTGGGCGTCGCGGATTGTTGTTATCGTTATTAAAAATTTCGAAAAAAAAAAAAAACAAATATAAACAAACGAAACAACCGAAAAAAAAATTTTTAGTCTCGTGTTTCTTCGTGTATGTTGTTGGTGGGGGTTTGGCACTCGATACTTTCACTTTCGATAAACTATTACGAAAAAAAAAAATATTCTAGCAAAAAACGGAGGATGCAATAAGAGAAAAAATAATTAATCAGGTCTTCTAACATTATGGAGCCTAAAATGAATAATAATAATAATAATAATAATAATAATTCTTACATAAGGCAACAACTAAAAATATGGCTCAAGTTTAGCTTAGAGGAGTTTCACTTTCGTTTGGCACTCAGAAGAGTGTGTGAGTGTAAGTGCGTGTTTGTTTGTTTGTTGGTGGCGCACACCCGCCGAATATCGACAGTGCACATGTGAAACACGGTGAATAAAGTTATTATTATAATAACAACAAAACAAACAAACGAAAATAAACAATCATCATGCGTCTTTTGTGGTTTTGTTTTTTAATATTAACCGTTTTCGAATTTACATCGACGGGAGTGTACGGACAAGATTTCGAAGTACCCGTTCAATTGATCGGATTTCCGGTTATTATGATAGCTGTGAAACTATCAAATTTCGTTAAAAAACTCGCTTACGCCGTAAATCCTTCGACTTATCATAAAAGAGGTAAGAGATCAGCATTTCCCGACGAAATGAACGTGATGGAAGTCGAACGGAAATTGATCGAGGAAATGGGTGAAAAATTTTGCGTTTACGAAAACGTTTGCGAAAAATACGCAGAAAGAGCAAACAAATTGGAAACGGAAAATAAAGTTTTAGATTGGGACAACGTATTTGCCATGTACGAAGACAAACCTGTAGACAGTAGAAAATATTATTTATTAAGTGTTTTCTTAGGGGATATCGTCGGGTCACCAGATTTGTGCCGTTCTCTTGCCAAAAGAGGAAGATCGTGTACTAACGTTCACAAAAAATAATTATTAATCGAAAGTAATAATAATATTTTTAAAAAAATTCGCGTTTACTTTTTATCCGATCGGTTATTTCGTGTTGTAATTAATTTATAAAAAAAAAATAAAGTGTCTTTAGACAATAATAATTATAATTTAATCTTCGAAATATGTATTCCCGATCGAATTATTTTTATCATTATTTTTTCTTTTAAAAAAAAAACGTGAAGACAATTCAAACGGTTCGAACGTAACGAAATTTTTTTGGTTTTATTAAAAAATAAAACCGGAAATTCCGTTATTGACGATTAGATAATACGATGAAAGAATTTCGTGACACACATCAGGTACACGCACATGGAATTTTTTCGAAATAAATATATAATATAAACGCC